TTTTTCAGTTGGCCAAATTTTTTTGGTATCAAAATTCTGAGGAACTGAACAGTGGCAATGACTATATTCCCCAAAATATTTTTTTTTTCAACAAAAGTTTCTGCTGTGTGCAGAGTAGCAAACAGTACAATTTGGCATCTACAATGTCCGTTCTCATCACTGTCCTCTTTACTTTTGAAAGTGGACTGAAAAGACTACTAGTTCTTGTGGTTGCCCTAAATATTTCCTGTTGCTGCGTCTGCATGCAGCTGATATTTCAGCACATACTGACACATATACAGATCTAGATGTTTGAATGAGACCAGCAAATATGGCCCAGAGAAGACTATTTGATTATACCTCCAAGTTGGTGGCTTAAATGCAACAATTCAACTTCTAGCAATAAGACCCCAAGAAGCCACAGACACTGTGCTGGTAGTGATGGTACTGATTGGTAGTACTGGTGGAAGGCATCTTAGTGTGGGGATATTGAAGCCAAATCACTGGTTTGCTGAAGGAGCTGACACAAGCTTCATCTGCCACCAAATTAAGCACTTTTTTCTTTGGGATGTGATGATACATTTTAACTTTCAAAGTTAAAACAGTAATGAAAATATTAACTTGCCTTAAATTTCTTCCATATACATTGAATATACCATATGTCACAACGATACATGCTGTATTCAATAACTGAGTGGCGTCACTCCATTCCTAAACTCCTTAGCCGGTGCATGAAGTAATTGTAGCTCATGCGCTGTGGTTCCTATGCTTGGTAGAGCAAAAGGGCCTCCTGTATGAGATGTTTTCTGTTCTCACATTGAGTGTCTGCCGAGGCATTTACTGAAAACTGGGAGAAAAACGTATTTTCAATTATTATTTTTTTGTTTGTTTCTTTCTCCCAAACGATCAATACAGTTGCTAGCAAAACTGCTATATATATATATACATACACAATATGACAACAGGTATCATTTATTATTTTATTTACGTTAACTGGAGATTAGTAATATTGTGTTATACTAATTATTTTATTAAACAAAATCTTGTGTAGGATTTTTTCATAGAGAAATATGGCTTTATGATATAGATATATATATATAAAAAAAAAATTATTATTATTATTTTTTAACCTTTATGGTTTTTGGTGTTTCAGTTCACTACTTCTAGCTAACTATACTTCTGTTAAAGGGAAACTAAAGTCACCAGAACAACTACAACTTGTGCAAGTTCAGAAGATTTATATATTTGGTAAAATAATTTAGTATATTAAATCTTGAATTTGGTTTCCGTTGCAGAATGCCTGTATAGATATTACTCAGAAAGTCTACAGTAAGTGGTTCTTAGACACAACAAAATGTAAACTAGAACTAAGATTACAAATGTTTTTTTCATATTGAAAAACACTGTGTTTCGGGTTTCAAAAGAACACACTTACTGGGTACGGTGGCATGTTAGGTCCTAAAGTGAAGCATCTACTTTACATGCTGGAGTGAAAGATCTGAGTTTTACCCATCTTGGTGAAAATTACATTAAATACTGAATATGACATTACATGTACAGAATACAATGGCTACACTAACACTTGATAAATAGTAATTTAGCACAAGGGGTCATCTTATAGCTCCATTTCAGATAGGAGGTAAGATTATTTAACTCCTTAAGGACCACGGATGTACTAGGTACGTCCGCCAAAACGGTCCGTCCGCGGCAAATATATTACCCGATCGCCGCCGTTCCCCTGCTGGCGATCGGTGTTGCTCCTGGTGTGGGGCGTCTTTTTGACAGCCCACACAGTCCCCCCTCAGCAAATTAGGCCCCCGCGGGCCATGTGATCGCTCTGAAAGAGCGATCACGTGGCCGCAATAGGCGTCCATAGTGCTGCCTGCTAAACTGATGGGCAGTCTCCCTGCTTCTGTTAAAATAAAATTAAAAAACAGAATATATATATATATATATATATATATTCTGTTTTTTTATTTTATTTTAACAGAAATATAATTAATACAATGTTAAACAAAAATCTGCACACCAGTCAAGCCATAAGACTTTCTTTTCCCACAGAAATCCCATAACTGCAGCGATGTTAAACATACTCGTTTTCCTGGCACTATAGTGCCCTGAGGGTGCCCCCACCCTCAGGGTCCCCCTCCCGCCCCAGCTCTGGGGAGAGGAAAGGGGTAAAAACTTACCTTTTTCCAGCGCTGGGCGGGGAGCTCTCCTCCTCCGATCCTCCTCCGTTCCTCCCATTCGGCTGAATGCGCACGCGCAGCAAGAGCTGCGGGCGAATTCAGCCGGTCGCATAGGAAAGCATTTACAATGCTTTCCTGTGGACGCTTGCGTCCTCTCACTGTGATTTTCACAATGAGAATCACGCAAGCGCCTCTAGCGGCTGTCAATGAGACTAGAGGAATTGGAATTGGAATTGGACTAGAGGAATTGGAGGAAGGATTAACCCATTTGTCAACATAGCAGTTTCTCTGAAACTGCTATGTTTATAAAAAAAATGGTATAATCCTAGGTGGACCTGGCACCCAGACCACTTCATTAAGCTGAAGTGGTCTGGGTGCCTAGAGTGGTCCTTTAAATAATGATAATCTGAAATAGCATTTAAAGCCCAGGTATGTGCCAGGCTGTTTGGGCATATAATCCATGCCTGCTGGTCTAGCACACAGGAGGCTAATTGCGATATATTCTTTTTAATCCCCCCTCCATTCTTTTTAACATTCTTTTTAATCCCCCCTCCATTCTTTTTTAATCCCCCCTCCATTCTTTTTTAATCCCCCTCCATTCTTTTTTAATCCCCCCTCCATTCTTTTTTAATCCCCCTCCATTCTTTTTAATCCCCCCTCCATTCTTTTTTAATCCCCCTCCATTCTTTTTAATCCCTCCCTCCATTCTTTTTAATCCCCCCTCCATTCTTTTTTAATCCCCTCCATTCTTTTTTAATCCCCCCTCCATTCTTTTTACTCCCTCCATTTTTTTTACTCCCCCCTCCATTTTTTTCCCTTCTTCTCACCTCCCCTTCCCTGTGCAGAGTGGGTGGCCGAGCTCCTCTTCGTCCTGTCAGTCCGGCCGGGTACCGCGCGGTACAGGAGATTCAGTTACCTGTTCCCAGCCGGACTGAAAGGAAGTGAGCACTCAGTGTAACTGAATCTCCTGTACCGCGCGGTACCCGGCTGGACTGACAGGACGAAGAGGAGCTCGGCCACCCACTCTTCACAGGGAAAGGGAGGTAAGAGAGGCAGTGCGGCATAGGCCATATACCCGGCGTATAAGACGACCCCCCACTTTGGAAAAGATTTTCCAGGGGTAAAAAGTCATTTTGTACGCCGGAAAATACGGTGTGTATATATATATATATATATATATATATATATATATTTATATTTTAAATAAGTAAAAATACATTTTAAAAAAAATATAATAACAATTTTGTTTTTAATTTTATATATATATATATATAGATAGAGAGAGAGAGAGAGAGAGAGAGAGAGAGATTGATTTAATTTTATTCTAACTGTATTTTGATATTTATATATATATATATAAAAAAATATATATCAAAATACACTTAGAGTGTGTGTGTGTGTGTGTGTGTCTGTCTGTCTGTCTGTCTCTAAGTGGCTACTAAAAAAGACTGGACATACCCCATATCGAATACTCTGGGTTGTTCACTTTAAAAAAAATATGTACATGTATGTGAGGTGTCATTCAGAGATTTATGACAGATAAGTGTTACAATGTCACTATTGATACATTTTAAAAATATATATTTTGAAACAGCAATGTACTACTTGTACTTAAACCCCTATAACTTGTAAAAAAATATAATAACATGTTGACAGTGGGTATTTCTAAACTCAGGACAAAATGTAGAAACTATTTAGCACAGATGTTTTTTGGAGGTTTTAGATGCGTAACAAATTATGGGGGTCAAAGTTCGAATAAGTGTGTTTCTTATAATTTCGTTTTATAGTAAGTTATATGATATGATGAAAATAATGGTGTCTTTAGAAAGATAATTTAATGGTGAGAAGAATGGCATATAATGTGTGGGTGCAGTAAATGAGTAAGAGGAAAATTACAGCTAAACACAAACACAGCAGAAATGTAAAAACAGCCCTGGTCCTTAGCGGTAAGAAAATAGAAAAACGGCCTGGTCACTAAGGGGTAAAAAAAAAAAAAACTTAAATGGCATCATAAGCCCACACCCTATAAAATGCAAGTTCCTTTGTGCAGGGCCCTCAACCCCATCTGTTCCTGTGTGTCCAATTCGTCTAGTTATAAATACTTCTAGTACACCCATTGTAGAGTGTTGCAGAATTTGTTGGCACTTTCTAAATATTAATAATAATAAACCTCTCATAAATAAATGTAGATATTTCTGATATGCATATGCAGGATATTGCTTACTGGGTAAGTAAGAGGCATTCAAATAATTTTAGATGTAAAATGGCCTGTTTAGTAAGTATTTAGTTAGGTTGGGGATATTAAAGCTCACTTTAAGGGATTAAATGGTCTAAACACAAATGGTTAAAACCCAAAGTCTGTGTTCCATCAGTGGATCACTCTGCCACCCTGCCTTTCAACTGTCTGAAATTCTAGATAATGAAAGCCTTGGGCAGCATCAGACAGGGGTGCATTTGATTGATACAGAGCGGCCAACTGATGCTCTAAGCCGACCAGAAGCTCCTCATTCATTGATAAGGTACAGAATGTACCTGTTTGTGAATACTTTAACCCCTAAAGGTGCGCTAGGCACCAAGGACCTCCGAGCACCATAACTAAGTTTTGATAAAGTTATGGTGTCCATGGTGTTCCTTTAAAGATTATCTATATCAGCATACACTGTTTGATCAGTGACTTCTTTTTGGTTAAGTCAGTTTTACTGGTGTCTATAAAAGCTGTACAGAGCTAAAAATAGAACAAGATTTATCTAAAGAAATGTTTTCCCTGATAAGTGACTTTGATCTTCAGGTTGACGTCACTGAATACCTGAATCAGACAAACAAGGAAACATATGGAGTTTGGAACGCAAAGCTTTTATTAAATTGCTTCAGCAGGTTTACTCACACAGTGGCATTAGGGACAACCATGCCATGAGAAAAACAGCAGCAGATCACGTAAAAGCCTTTTGGTTTCTCTTCTTCTTTAGTGGCACTAGAGAGCGGAAGTACGTTTCTTAACTGGTGGGATGGAAGGCTCCCCTCTGGTGCCACTGCATATCACGAATGCGCCTGACAGACTGGATTTGGGGGTGTTGAGCACCAAATTCTGAGCTGTCCTTGTAGTCCCCCTTCTCAAACAGGTACTGGTAACCTCTGTAACCTGGGTATTGGTAGCCAACCCACCTACAAGGAAGGACAGTTGGTGTTAGCCCAGAGTGGTCTTTTAAATGTCTCTTTTTCTGTAACCGTACAAAAGTATTAAGCTTAATTGCTGGATTTTTATGTATATATTAGTCGATGATTGACACTCAATTCTGCAATGGATTCTATTATCAGTAACAAATTGAATGCAATGCGATCGATATGGTACAACCTGAAATAACCTGACTACTATCATTAACCTCTGGGGAAACTTGTAAAACTTTATATTTTTGTAGCACAGACAGAATAGCCCCAGTAACAGGACTTTGGTCAATAGATTCTGTATGTGCAAACAAAATATTTCTACTTGTCATGACGGTAGCCAAATACAAGCTGAATAAAAAAAATATTAGTCTATTCAATAAATAACAGATAATTAACCTCAGTACTCATTAACGTAAACTTGGCTCTAAGCTCCAGAGCTTGACTGCTGCACTCCAGAAATCAGCCAGGGCTCAACTGCATACTGCTAGTACATGGACAATGTTAAAATTTATATTCACAAATGAGTCTGCGTCACAGCAAACCTGTAGCTTATTTAGTTAGGTACTTAGAACCCTCAGGGACAATGGGTGGCAATTTGCCCTCTAGTCCCTAAGTAGTTTTAGTGAACATTATGTATACCATCAGACTGAGCACCCAGCTGTGTGGTAATCAAGATGTTCTTTCCCAGCAATAATTGAACTGCTAAATGTTATGCACAACCGTAGGATGTAGATGGACGCAGTAGGAATTAACTTGTACTGTGTTGTCACAGAGAGAACACTGTGGCTTAACACTGCGGCCCTATTATATAGACTCCACAGTGTTATTAAAATCTTGCTCTCAACTAGAGAATCCAAATATCCTACATATAGGTCATTGTAAAGCATGACAAATCTATTCATTAATATCAAACCGTGTCATTTTAAAAATAACGTTAGCAGTCTGGGTAAATATTCTACATGATATCTATTAGAACAGAACACTCATTATAAACTTACTACTGATTCTTTAAAAAAAATATATAATTACTTTCATATGATGTATTACATTAAAATACAATATTGGTACTGAATAAAAATCTGCCTCTGTTATGATAAAGGCTAGAATTCTCAGGTATCCCCTAGACACAAGGTGTCTGACATATGCTGCAAGATGGGATCTAAGCAGCTGTGATGAGACTCTCTATATCTCCCATGTGCACCTAAATTTTGTTTACGGAAAAAAAGACCAAACTAGGACACAAAGTTAGACCTATTTGTGTCTCTGCATCAAATATAGGTCGCTTGCATGAGTTTGATATCTGCCTGATATTAAAATACTCACGTTCCACTTTGCACTCTCACAGAAGATACTTTTTCCTGGTAACCATGAGCATGGAAACTTGGGACATCGTCATCAATTATCTCAATCTTTTTTCCACTGAAGTTAGGGTTTTCATAGAGGACAATCTTGTGCTCTTGGCTGTCCTGTAGGCACATAGACTATTGTAAATTAAAGGCTAGTTCAGCTTTACCAGGTCTTTTTCTGTACTCTTGTTCCAGTGCATGGGTTATGCATAAATCATGAGACATCATGCACCTCTTTTCACATATTTTTGGTGCTAAAAACCTGTTGAACTTGTACTGGATCAGTCGGATAGATCCTCAAACCAAACTAGCAAGCCCACAATAATCATCACAGTCCACCAGGAATCTGGCCTGTTTGGCTGCAGATCAATAAGAGCCTGGTTTTGGTACAATGCAGCATTTTTGCAACCACATGCTTATACAATCAACAAATGCACATGTCCAAATGTTTTATTTTTAATGCATAATTTCTAGAAAGCATTAAAGAAAGTGGCAAAATTCCAACTAGTATCCTTTAAATTTGAAAGTTGTGTTTGTTCCATGTGTAGTCAAAATAATTACTGAAACTAATCATCTTCACAATAATCCCTCACCGTATTAATGATCAAACTTATTAAAGTTAATATGCCATATGGACTTTAAAAAAAACAAAAAACATGCCACTCCTAATCTTAAATCAGAGACACATTGAATGCATCCCACAAAGCCTAACCTTAAAGGGACACCGTTGGCACTGTATCTGCTTCATTTCATTAAACTTGTTATAGTGTCTGGAGTCCCCTGGTACCATCATTTCTTTCAGCATTAAACAGTTTTTAATGGCTGAGAGTGTCAGCTGACGGCTTTTAGCCTGTCAGAGCTCCAACTGGCGGTATGACAACAAGGAAGTGTAATCTCTGCCTTAGCTACACATAAAGAAGGGGCGGGACTGTGGGTGGCCAGGGACTATTATTTTGTGGCATACGGCACAAACATTGTACAAAACTGAATGGAGGGGCAGTGCCAGGGCACTCCAGGCATTATAACCAATTCAAAGAGAATAAATGGTTATAGTGACTACAGTGTCCCTTTAACTAAAAAAAAAAAAATGTATTACAGTCTTTCACTGCAAGACTATCCAGAGGTAAATATTTCATTTGTATCAGGCATCATGTTAAATATACAATAAATATGTATTGCATGATTTCGTTTCAAATGCACATTGGGCACATGGACTTTACGTTTTGTTAACTGTAATTACTTGTTAAGTGTGATATAGAACTATCTACCCCAGGGAAAATAAATGTTACCAGGGACTTAATTAATAGTAGCTAATCATTTGTTATTAACCCCTTAAGGACACATGACGGAAATATTCCATCATGATTCCCTTTTATTTCAGAAGTTGTGTCCTTAAGGGGTTAAATGTTACCACAATATGTTTTTTTTTTTAGTGATTGTATGCAGTGGCATAGTGAATTTGTGGATTTATTTTCACATATATTGTCACAGCACAAATGTATAGGCCACATTCTTGTGCACATAACCCCATCCCTATAAGTAAGCAACATGTTTATAATCATCAGATTGCAACACTGGCAGAGGAAAGGCACATTTCTAACTCCACTGTCTTACAACTTACAACTCCTTCTAGCTGGCAATGTGATCCCTGACTTTGTTTTATTACTGCTTTAAACTATGAATATGACAGACTAGGGGGAAAGCATGAAAGAAATGTAAAATATGTGCCATGTCCTATGGGATGCTTAGAATTACTGCCAACAGTGATCACATCATAAATTATAAAGTCAGCTCTTCCATGTTCAATCTGGCTGACACATTCTTAGTTAAGAAACAAGCGCAATACTGTATAAAAACTCCACTGCTAGATTTAATAAAACCTCCACTGCTATGTTTAGGTGCATGTGGTGTTATGGATTCATCTTCCAGCACAGTCATTTTAGAGAGACTGATCTGAGGAAAGCAAAGATATCTATTATTTTTTTATTTATTTGTTTACATATATATGAATAGGTCTTTATGAGGCTTTGCTACTGTAGCTTTAATAAAAAAAAAAATATATATAACATATAATCCCTAGATAAACAGAAGGATGGAAAAGAACCTGTGTGACTGATTCAAAAGGTGTTTACAACTCCCCTCATGTTTTTCTGGGTCTACAGAGTGGGAATGTTAAGGGTAATGGTAGGGATATACGGTGATGAAATGTTTGTCCGTCATAATATGTACTAATATCATAGGGAAATTCAGTCAGGCATTGCAATGTATATAAGGGAAATCAGGACTAACAAATTCTAATGATCATTGATGATGCAGAAAAGTGTCCTTTGAAATGTTTAGTGAAAACAGCAGCTAGTCAAGCTCTCACCACTTTGATTGGTCTCAAGGAGCCGATGCTGTCGCTCCTTCGACTATTCGTCCAGGAGTCCCAGCGGGGATATTCTCCCTTCTCAAAGACAAACTGTTCCCCCTTGCAGTTTTGTTGTTCATATCCTACCCAGCTGTAGAATAATGCAAAAGAAAGATGAAATAGAATGTTAGAATTCTGGGTAAGGTAGCACCCATTAAAGGAACACTAACATACACAAATATTCTTTAACTCTAAGAGCATTATTTTATATGGAATTAAATGTGTATAATGGGATTATTGTAATTGCCTTGTTTGTCTTAACCGAGTGCAGATGAATGCTGGACAAGCCTTGTGATTTTGACTTACCGTTGCCTGGTTTTGGGTACCTATAACCCTATTTTCTCTAGCAAGATGCTCAGACCTCTTTCTCCAGCCATGGGTAAAAATTGGAAAAAAATTTGACTAACAAGATCGGAGAGATCCTCAAATATAGGATAACTTCTTCAGAGGTTCAAGAGGCCCAAATGTCGCACTTCACATACCTCAGAGGATCCCTCGATGGACATGTTGGAACAGTTCTTCCTGGCAGGCCACCAGAGAATCACTACTCTGGATGGGGACACCAAAAGCTAAAGGAGCTTAGATGGCTGGATGACTGCCATGGAGGAGGGGGGATTGACACAAGAACCCTCCAGCTGCAGAAACCTCAAGCAGCACTTCAATTATGGGTGGAGGAGTTGGATAACAAGAGCAACCGCAGAAACCTGAAGAGAGTAAGTATTGATAAATCAGTTTATATAGTCAAATGTCACCACTCTTTCAGGCAGCTATGCACCACAATTCTCCATCCCTTAGATGGAACCTCCAGTGGAAGCAATGTCCTACTTATATTTTAAGATGTTGTTGGCAGAAATGCCATAAAGAGAAATATAAAAGCAATGTCCTACTTATATTTTACGATGTTGTTGGCAGAAATGCCATAAAGAGAAAAATATACCAGTTTCAGACTCTCTCTCATGTTTCTCCATAGGATGACTGGAGGATGGAAATAAAATTAGGAAAGACAGTGGGAGTGAAATGGAGAATAACTGAACTAGGAATAGGGCTGAGAGAGTGAAAATGTGAGGCATTTCCCTGGATTTGTGGACTCTGAAAATGGTGACATCACCTGTCTGTAACAGTCTACAATTTAAAATATAAAGTAATGTAATATATCTTGAATCCAGAAGTTCCCTTTTAGACACTATCACAGGAACAATGAGAACAATTGATATTGTTTCTTTCAAAGTTTGAACACTCCAGAAATAAATTGATATGTGTGACATTCTATTAGACAGACAGGTGTGTGTGTGTATGTGTGTGCGTATGTATGTGTGTGTATAAGTGTATTTTTATATATATATATATATATATATATATATATATAATACCTACTCTGTATTATGAAAGCTTGCACTGTTTCAGTTTGGATTAAACAGAAACAATGTATCATGCAGCAATAGTGATTAATTGTTGAAGTATTGAAATTGTTTAGCTGATACACAGTCATAATTAATGCAAGTACCTTTTACTCCCTAACATGGGGTCAAGGCAAAAAAAGAAAATGAACTCCTTAAATTTGGCACCCCTTCCCATCCTTAATGTAGCTCACATCACCTTGCTCTTAATCTAATCATGAACCCCAGCTTTCAAATGTGTTGTTAAATTGCATAAATATAAATTTAATGATTTGTTTTATCACCTTAGTGACAATGGAACATACACTCTTTTCCTTTCTACCAATAAGTGTTCTAAGTAGAGCCTGGCACCATATACAAACTATGAATTATGTACTGACCCTCTTTTAGTATATATATGATCTTGAAGAAAGCCCCAAACGAGGGCTGAAACGTTGATTTTTAATGAAATTACTTCAATAAAGAAATACTTTTAACTTTATCTAAGACCGTGAGTGCAATCTGTTTTTTGTATACTTGTATTTTTTGGCTATGGCTATTGGGCACCCGGCATTTTGTTAAACTGGTCTGTCTGAGTGCAAGGACACACTTGTATTATATATATATATATATATATATATATATATATATATATATATATAGTCACCTTTTAGGTATGGTTTGCATAACATAATACATAAATGCAAAATAAAGCCTAAAACTGTAAAAATAATAACTAAGGAGACTAAAACTAAAACTGTAAAAAAAGTTTGGTGTATATGAAAATGTGGGCAATACTGTAGAGGTAGTAATAATATTGAAAAAAATAAACATTTTACTAGTAACATCATACAAAATATGAATATCTATCCATTAAATCTTCCATCATTGCTTCTGTTTTACAGGATAGAGCCTTACACACATTCAACATATACAGAAAGTTGATCTTTTAATCCCTCCTAGCTTATTGGAGGCTGACTGGCAGGGTGTCTGAAAGTCAAAATGATGTCTGCCTCATGTTAGGGGAGAAGCAGAAGATTATATACAGAATACTTGAGATTTAGGAGTTGCATAGGAAAAAACTTGTTCATTTGCTTATCTGCAATGTTAAAATGCCCAATGTTTTGTATCAATGATCCGGTACTGTAAGCAGCGCTAATCCCTTTGAAGTAAGATGTGTGGGAACTCAAAAACATCTGCAAATATGGTAAGGGACCTGAGTTCCCAACATTTCCCACTGCATAGAGCACTGCTCTCTATTGAACAATGTAATGGTTTAGCAAAGGGGCCTTGGGCTCTGTTACCTTCAAGTGTCTCTGCATATTTGTCACCTTCTTTCTTCAATTCCCGGTGTTACATCATCCAGGAACCGTATCAGTGCAGTGCTTGCGCATGCATGAGAGTACTACACTGATGTCTATGTACAACACTGATGTCTATGTACTACAAAACTGATATGTATCCCATGAGTCCCAATAGACCAGGGTGTCCACAAGGTAGATCCCCAGATGTTGTAGAACTACAACTTTTATGATGCTTTGCCATTCTAAAGGCATGCAAAACATCATGGGAGTTGTAGTTAAACATCTGGGGATCTACCTTTTGGGCACCCCTGCAATAAACAAACTCTTGAGATTAGAAGCAGCCTGATTCAACCAGCCGCCGCTAACGACATCTGATAAAACCTGATGGCGGAAGTTCTGCCATTTGTCAAGTTATGTGTTCCTTGGCATTTACTACAGTTTTTTTCCCCAAAATAAGAAATCCCCCCAAAATGAGCCCTAGTTAATTTCCAGGAGATGCTTGTAATATAAGCCCTACCTAGAAAATAAGCGAGTCGCTATCGCTAGTTTGCTAATCTATGTTAAGGGAATTTTCCTCAAACATAGATTCCTGTGATTCCATGCACTAGTAAGCTAATTTACAAATCATAACTTTTATCTCTGAAAGTTTTTTAATTGGATGGTGAATTAAAGCACCTCTGTCACCTCACCAAACAATTTGATGATTACATTAATATAGAAGCTTAATGAAATACTCATATTGACTGTGTTGACCTTTCATTGAAATTCCAACTCTGTCATAAAATATTAGACACAGTAAGGGTTGATTTGTCCTATACTATCTTTCCCCTAAAATAAGACAGTCTTATATGAATTTTTCCCTCGAAAAACGCACTAGCAGTTATTTTGGGGCAATGCCTTTTTAAAAAATTTTTTTTGCATATATATATATATATGTATTCGCGGGAATTCCATGCGCTAGTGGTCTATGTTTGGGGGAATTCCCCCAACCTAGACCTGCTTACTAGCACAGGCTTTCTATAATTTTTCCCCAAAATAAGACATAACCCAAAAATAAGCCCTAGTGTGGGGGAGGATGGGGGCTTAATATTAGACCTGGTCTTATTTTTGAGGAAAAACGGTATAAGACAAAGCAGCTTTTTTTAATTATTATTATTATTATTGCCATTTATATAGCGCCAACAGATTCCGTAGCGCTTTACAATATTATAGGACTCTTTTATGACTGGGTTGAAATTTAATGAAAGACCAACACAGTCAATGTGAGTATTTCATTAAGAGTCTATCTTAATGGAATACTTAAAATGTTTGGTGAGGTGACAGATGTGCTTTAATTCACCATTAAAAAAAACACTTTCTGAGAGAAAATATATTACAACACTAAAAATGTCCAAGTGAAAGAACATTTAATAAGAAGCATCTGTTTTTGCATATAACCTGGTCAGAAGTTCATTTAGTGAGAATGTTTTTCTTGCTTCTCTATGCACTGTAATCTATGTACTTAAGAAAAGGAACACTCCTAGCACCACAACCACTACATTGCCCTGGAGTGCCCTGGCACCCACTCATTGTATGTTTTCAAACCATGTGTAAACAAGGCTTAGCAGTGCAGGGCAAAACTTATTGACTGAGAGTAATCAGCTGTTGCTCTCAGTCAATGAACTAGCCTTGCAATGGATGGCTTATCTCAGGGGACCTAACGGAAGCTCCTGTTTAAAAGTTGTTGTCTCACCATCAGAAGCATTGCAAGTGAGAAGTGGCGCCCAATTTGACTGCTTACTCTGCGGCGCCAGGTCATTCCTTGAACTATAACCACCATAGCACACAATGGTTCTTATGCTTGGAGTGGTCCAGTAATGCCATTTTTTATTGCACCGTTTGTGCACAGTATAAATCCACATATAGATACTGCGATTGGTGTGTGCTGCCAAAGTGAAAGGAAATTGTCACTCAATAGGATCTGCAAACTAGCCATATTGAAAAGTTCACTCCGGGCAAACATTTACTAGTATGCAAAATAAAGATGATTATGATATAAATAGTTCCGATTTTTAGGAAAGTTAGGATATAAGAATAATTTAATTATTTGATTTCTTCTTATCTTGCTGTCTCTGTAGTGAGTGTGCAAAGCCCACCCCATGCTCCACTTTTATTTCAATTGAAGCAAGTCAGGGGTCTTATGTGTATGTACTTGTAGTGTGTGTGTGTGTGTGTGTGTGTATTTACTAGAGTATATTTTTGGCATGTGGTTATTAGCAAGACGTGTAGCATTTGCGCAGTATTGTCATGAGTTGCTTATTTTCAGCTATATAGAACAAGCACAATAGATATATAGACATCACAGCAGTTTTCTGTGAAAATTGATTGTAAAAAACAAAAACTGTGAAACCTGGAGTGCTAGAACTAGGTCATTCGAAAATTTGGAACACGCTTCAATTCATAAATAAGCAATTACCTTTTATGAACTAGAAACTGTAGTTGGGGATCTCTCTATCTGCAAAGCAACTTAATCTCTGTCCTTCTACCCAGCCGCTGCACTGATGCAATAGTTATTGTTATTTCTAATCTCCAAATTTAAAGTTGAGTTTATGTAAGAAAATCCCTTTAACAACATATTGAGAAGTCATACAGGTTTAGAGTGGAAAAATATTTGTTAGTATTCATGTGTTGGTACATACGGTCCAGAGTGCACAAGCATGGAGCCAACTTTTTCCATGCCAGCCTCCTTTAGGTTGGTACAGGGTGCGCTGAGTTCATGGCATCGGCCTTGGAAATTCTCTTGCTCAAAGATGACAATCTACAGATTAAAAACCATGATAATAATTTTAAATTTATTCTAAAAATCATCCTGAAATGTTTTTAAACACAAATATACTGATCCACTATAAACCGTTATGAAGAGAAAATATTTTATTGTGTATGCATGTACACATAGCACAACATAAATGGGCTGATGTATCTAAATAAAGGTATATATATAAAGACTGTAAAAACATTTATCTGCTTGACTCCACTCCATGTGTACACCACGATGGAATATATTGGATCTTTGTATTCACATAAATAAAGTTGTACCCTACAGTATACATCACACCCAACAGCATGTCTAAGTCTGATTGTGTATTGTGTGATTATTGTGTGTTTTTTTTTTGGTTTTTTTTATTGTGCCGGTCCCATGAAGAGAGCAGATATTGAAGAAATAAAGAATTTTCATGCTGCTTCCTTCTAAAATTATCCTTGCTAAGCATTTAGTCGTATTTCAATACTTAAAGGGGACATTCCAGGCACTAAAGCACTTGAGCTTGTGTGAAGAGTGTGTCCTATTTTTATTATTCTGCAAAGAGTGCAGATTTCAGTAGAATAGAAATTGACACTTGTATAAATTAACATGGTTATAACCTCTTTCTTTCAGGCAGGCAACAGGTTCTGCTACTTCCTGGCCTGGTTAGCACAGTGGAGCTAAACTCAACAGGCAGCAATTGCTTAGAGCACCTGCCTTGCAAAGATGTCATTGAGCTGCATTGGGAAGTCTGTGATTGGAGAGTAACAGAGTCTTGTTGAGGTCAGAAGAAGAGGGCTTGTAAAAGCAGCAGAACTGCAGGTTTTGCAAGCTGTTTTAATATATAACCCCAATGGAAAAAAATGCGTGAATAAATGAATGCAAGTTGTCGTTTGAGGTATATCTACTAAACAGTGATTTTTATTTATTTTGTATTTGAGCAATGGAGTGTACTTTTAATTTACCAGGTAGGTTATTAATTAACAATCCTTAATATCAGACTGTTTTTAAAAACATCCATATACTGGTTGAATTAAGTGGAACTGAACAGATGTTAGCATGGTGCCAACCAGCCTATAGGCCACCTATCATAATCGGTCAGCTCAACCCTATGTTGTGAAGTTTGTGTCATGGTAGACTAGGACTGGTACAGACCTTAAGGAACATGCATCACGTGACCATTATCTTTTTAAACCAACAAGCAAACATTTTAAAAACAGAAACCAGAATAACGCAAGAAACGCTTTGGATAGTATATAATAAACATTTCTAAACTTACCATAAACGGTGTCAGTTTGCATTATTGGACATGCCTCTCAGGTAGAGTTGTTTCATCAGAGCCCCCCTCCCTCCATCCCATTTCAGTTTCAGACTAGTCCTCTAATGACAGAAACAGGGCATCATGCCTGCTGTGCATGATAACAATAATCCGATTCCCTCTCTCCCCTTGTCAGTCTGTTGCAAGGTGAAGAATCTTCCAACAGCATATGTGTAAATCTGCCAGTAATGCCCAGTGCATTTTTGCAGCACCCTTAGGGATAGCACACTGATTGGTTAGATCAGTGTCCTTCCAGCAGTGAGTGTGGGAAGCAGAAGACAGAAGAAACAAGTAAATGTGAAAGAACATCGTATTTACCTGCTTTTTTTAGCCTGCAGAGTGACACAACTGTTTTAAAAGCAAAAACATTTGAAAGAGACCGTTGTCTCAAAGTGATTCATGTTTTTTTTCCCGCAATTATCTTACTTATCAATTAAATTAGAATTAGAATTTACATGCAGAAAACAAATGTTTTGGCTGTCATTTGAACTGTATTGCCCAATGTTCTACGATATTACCGTGGTTTACACTATTAAAGGGAATCTATACTGTTAGGAATGCTAACAGTTGTATTCCTAACACTATATAGGAATGCAAAGTTGTACTCCTTTTTTTAATTTTTATTTTTTGTTATCGTCATTGCCAAATACAGAAAAAACAAATACAAATAAATCCAGTATTTCATTACAGTTCAACATAATAAATTCATATAAATCTAGTGCAGAGATGATTCGGCAATGTACTCGTACCAAAACAAAGACACACAAAAAAGAAAAAATCTGGACGTACATAGTGGTGGACTGCATAGTTGTGGACCTTGGGACTCAGCGACAGGGTGCGACAATTTCAGTATATCCAAGGGAACTCTTGTTTTATTAGGAAATCATGGAAATACTTATCATAAACCACTAACCCATCCTTAATTTAGAATAGGTTTTTATTTTCATTATATATTATCCAAGGTTGCCATAAATATTGATATTCCTAACACTATAGAGCCCTCTTGTCCCGCCCCAGGTGTATAAAGGGTTAAAAAAAACGTTATATACTGACACGATCCCTCCGACGTGATCCATCGGAAAGCCTAATGTATATGTGCAGTGAGCGCCACAAGCGCATTAGGCCCTCCCCAGAAGAAAGCATTGCCTTTTCTTAATGCCAGGGACTAATTAAAAGTATTTTGAAATATTGGGCAGACTAGATGGGCTGAATGGTTCTTATCTGCTGTCCCATTCTATGTTTCTATGGGTATTTCACTAATGCTTGATGTCCTAATGCAGAGTGCCGACCCAGAGTCCGGTAAACTCCCAGAAGAGCCTCTAGCTAGTGGGTGTCTGGTGGACAACCAGTAGAGGCTGTCTTAGTGCTGGAATGTAAACATCAAGGTTTTCAAAAACGGCAATGTTTTACATTGCAGGACTAAGGCCTGCACCCAGACCACTTCAATGAGATGAAGTGGTCTAGGTTACTAAAGTGTTCCTTTAAAAAGGATTGATAGAAGCACCATTCTGCAGATCCTGTAAGAATAGATGGACCTCAATTTAAAAACAATTTTTAAATTGTTTAGATTTTCCCACATTGGACTGTTCACCTTGGTGTTGTCTAAGTCTTGATATTATAACGTAATGATTTACTAAATTAGGTTATCCCCACCCATAAATATAATTTGACATAATCCGTTAGTAAGTAAAGTTCGATTTGTCAGGAATTTAAAATTAATGTAGCTGAACTGGAAGCATAGCTGACTTTAGAGAAAAGTCCTGAATGTATATATTTGCAAGTCTAAGCCTCTCACCAGCATAACTGCTAGCATTTCTATTCTTGGTTATGTGGGTTTAGGGAAAGCCATGTCTAATCAATTCCACGTTGATCCGTGTAACTAAGAATTGGATTTAGAGAAAATAATCAATATACAAACAAAACATTTTAATATTGAGCAAACATAAACCAGAGGAACAAGCATTATAATTGTAATTATGTAATGGAAACTGTATGGTCAGGCTACAAAATGTAACACTGGCTCCCAAAGTTAAGACTTCATTGTGGTCTTTTTCCAGAAAGCTCCTATCAAAATATACTGATTAGTGATGTCCCGAACGGTTCGCCGCGAACGGTTCACCACGAACGGTTCGCTGCGGACTCATCATTGAGTAAACTTTGACCCTGTACCTCACAGTCAGCCGACACATTCCAGCCAATCAGCAGCAGACCCTCCCTCCCAGACCCTCCCACCTCCTGGACAGAATCCATTTTACATCCATTGTGAAGCTGCATTCTTAGTGAGCTGTCTGGGAGGGAGGGTCTGCTGCTGATTGGCTAATACTAATACTGATCCCTAGTGTGTTTTCTAAGAACGGATTCTCTCAACTCTTCCCCAGGTAAAGTGAAATGACACCTTCACCTTCACTTGAGTTATTAGAGGGGAACTGTAACTTTTAGAAATTACTCTATTGAATAAAACATTGAAAATCACCTATTACTTGTATTCTCTTTGTTTCATGTGACTATTCATTTAACTTTGATTTTATACTAATAGATTTAGCAAATTACATCACAACCTATTTCAGTCCAGGTAGCACTAGGGCACACATTGCAAATGAGAAGGAAATATTGTTTCATGTCTCCTTTTCTCTGTGCTGACTACCATGTGCAAAGGGCAGAGCTTATAACAATGATTGGCAGGACGCTAAGCTGCAGGTACCTAGTTGCAGAATAAAGATGAGTGGATTTCTGTTTAATTGTATTTACATCTCACTAAAATGTATATATGATAAGTAAACATAGTATTAAAAATCATGTGAAATGACAGATTCTCTATTGCTGTTACCCATCAATCAATGTTCTCCATACCGAGACTAGTTTGTGGAGTTTCAGGCCAATAAGAACAAATGTTCTCAGTGAGCAGTTCAGAGGTTTTGCTAGGATGTATTTAAACTAGGAGGGGGGGGGCAAAAGGGCGATAAAACATCAATCCAATTGTCCCCCAAAAGAAGGACAGAAGGTGTCTGTAGCAAGTGTGTTAAAAAATGATAAGCTTAGAGTCATGTCTACAAATGCTCGCAGTTTAGGGAATAAGATCCATGAACTTGTGGCAATAATGGCAACTGATAGTGTAGATTTAGTCGCTGTAACTGAGACATGGTACAATGAGAAAAATGACTGGGACATAGCAATACCAGGGTACTCTTTATATAGGAAAGATAGGGAAGGCAAGAAAGGGGGAGGGGTGGCCTTGTATGTGAAGGATAGCATAAAATCTAGCCTAATAAAAGTTAGTGAGGCAAACATAGAGTCCGTTTGGGCTACGTTAGAATTTGGTAATCACACAGTAACTCGTGTAGGTGTGATTTATAGGCCCCCAGGACAAATTGAAGAGTTAGATAATCTACTAGTTGAGGAAATAGCTAAAATGACAATGAAGGGGAAGTTATCATCATGGGTGACTTTAATCTTCCTGATGTAAATTGGAAAACAAAATTAGCTACTTGTGCCAGGAGCACACATATTCTAAACTCCCTACTGGGATTGTCTCTAAAACAAGTTGTTGAGGAGCCAACTCGTAAAGAGGCCATACTAGATTTAGTGTTAACAAATGGAGATTTGGTATCAGATGTTACTGTAGGTGAAAGTTTAGGATCCAGTGATCATCAGTCAGTGTGGTTTAATATAAGAACAGTGACTGAGTCACACCACACAAAAACAAAAGTTTTAGACTTTAGAAAAACAGACTTTTCTAAAATTAGAATATGGGTAGAGGAGTCATTATCAGACTGGAGCAATTTAAATGGAGTCCAAGAGAAATGGGATTATTTAAAAGTTGCACTATTGAAGGCAACAGAAAATTGCATTAGGCTTGTCAGTAAAATCAAAAAATTCAAGAAACCACTGTGGTACTCCGCAGATGTGGCCAAAATAGTTAAAAACAAAAAGTTAGCATTTAGGAATTATAAAAAAACCCAGAGTGAGGAAGACAAAATGATCTATAAGATTAGGCAGAAAGAGGCTAAACAAGTTATAAGAGCTTCCAAATCACACACAGAAGAGAAAATAGCACAGTCAGTAAAAAAGGGGGATAAAACATTTTTTAGATACATAAATGAGAAAAGAAAAGTAAAACAAGGATTAGTTAGATTAAAAACAAAAGAAGGAAGGTATGTAGAAGAGGATAAAGGTCAGGCTGACTGCCTCAATGAATATTTTTGTTCTGTATTTACAGAAGAAAATAAAGGAAAGGGACCTCAGTTGAGAAAAAGGATAAATGAGTCATTTATTACACGTGAGTTTACAGAGGAAGAGGTTCTATTTCAACTGTCAAAAGTAAAGACAAATAAGTCAATGGGACCTGATGGAATACACCCAAAGCTATTAAAAGAGCTTAGTGGTGTACTAGCAAAACCATTAACAGATTTATTTAACCAATCATTGTTAACAGGAGTAGTCCCAGAAGATTGGAAGTTAGCGAATGTTGTGCCCATTTACAAGAAAGGTAATAGGGAGGAGTCGGGCAACTATAGGCCAGTAAGCCTTACTTCAGTAGTGGGGAAAGTGATGGAAACCATGTTAAAGGATAGGATTGTTGAACATCTAAAAACACATGGATTTCAAGATCAGAGACAACATGGGTTTACTTCAGGGAGATCATGCCAAACTAATCTTATTGATTTTTTTGATTGGGTAACTAAAATTATAGATCAGGGTGGTGCAGTAGACATTGCTTACCTAGATTTCAGTAAGGCTTTTGACACTGTTGCACATAGAAGGCTTATCAATAAACTGCAATCTTTAAGTTTGGATTCCAATATTGTTGAATGGGTAAGGCAGTGGCTGAGTGACAGGCAACAGAGGGTTGTAGTTAATGGAATATATTCGAAGCTTGGACTTGTCACCAGTGGGGTACCTCAGGGATCTGTACTTGGACCCATTCTCTTTAATATTTTTATTAGTGATATTGCAGAAGGTCTTGATGGTAAGGTATGTCTTTTTGCTGATGATACTAAGATATGTAACAGGGTTGATGTTCCAGGAGGGATAAGCCAAATGACAAATGATTTAGGTAAACTAGAAAAATGGTCAGAATTGTGGCAACTGAAATTTAATGTGGATAAGTGCAAGATAATGCATCTTGGACGTAAAAACCCAAGGGCAGAGTACAGAATATTTGATAGAGTCCTAACCTCAACATATGAGGAAAGGGATTTAGGGGTGATTATTTCTGATGACTTAAAGGTAGGCAGACAATGTAATAGAGCAGCAGGAAATGCTAGCAGAATGCTTGGTTGTATAGGGAGAGGTATTAGCAGTAGAAAGAGGGAAGTGCTCATGCCATTGTACAGAACACTGGTGAGACCTCACTTGGAGTATTGTACACAGTACTGGAGACCGTATCTTCAGAAGGATATTGATACCTTAGAGAGGGTTCAGAGAAGGGCTACTAAACTGGTTCATGGATTGCGGGATAAAACTTACCAGGAAAGGTTAAAGGATCTTAACATGTATAGCTTGGAGGAAAGACGAGACAGGGGGGATATGATAGAAACATTTAAATATATAAAGGGAATCAACACAGTAAAGGAGGAGACTATATTTAAAAGAAGAAAAACTACCACAACAAGAGGACATAGTCTTAAATTAGAGGGACAAAGGTTTAAAAATAATATCAGGAAGTATTACTTTACTGAGAGGGTAGTGGATGCATGGAATAGCCTTCCAGCTGAAGTGGTAGAGGTTAACACAGTAAAGGAGTTTAAGCATGCGTGGGATAGGCATAAGGCTATCCTAACTATAAGATAAGACTAGGGACTATTTAGAAAATTGGGCAGACTAGATGGGCCGAATGGTTCTTATCTGCCGTCACATTCTATGTTTCTATGTTTCTATAACTTATACATATCACAACCATTTTTTTTTCACTATGAGCAAAAGTAATAACTCACTATGCCTTTAAATCAAAGTAAACAAAACCAAAAACAATTTCTACATATCGTATTACATGTTTTGTGTTGAAGCACAAAACAGGAAAACTACAACACTCAACTGTTTCGAAAAAGTGAAAATAAAAAAACTGTTCTTGTTATATTGTTAGAGTGTCTAAAGTTATTACCGCAAATATATTTCCTCAGTCATATTGCTCATTAAACCTGCCTTGAAATGCCAAATGTAACTATCACTTGTTTAACTAACTACAACTTCTTCCGTGGAGAATCCTAACCATGCAGTTTACATTTCCTTAGCACAGATGAATGCTGGGAGCTAATCAGTTCAACTGTGATTATCCCACATTCTTATTGGTAGCCAATATCACATATCGTCAAATGATTATTGCAGTTAAATTTGCTATAGTTTAGCATTGTTTTAAACAGATTTAATGTAAAGAAAATGACAGATGACAAGCTTACCTAATAACAGTGATGACTTTATTCTGAACAAAATTTTTTTGTTAATATTCATTTTTAATTGTATTTATAAATTGTATACAGAAATAAATGAAAGTGCTATTATATAATGTTGACATATTGGCTATGTAGAAACGCCGCAGTCACACTCTGTCGGAGCAGCAAATAGCTGTTAAAATTCATATTTCTATATTATTTAGCTTTAAGCCTATAAAATTGGGTATATCTGTACTGAGTTGTCCAATTTCCTGTTTCCTTTGCAATCCATTAAGCTCAGCATATCACTATTCTCAGCACCTAAGCTTCTCTGTGAATTTGTGAAACCTGGTTGTGGAAACTGGAGTTTTCAAACTACAGTGAATACAAAATATTCACACAATCTCGCTATAATGCTTATTTTCAAGAAGTGTGGTTAGGTGTATGTAGGTTAAAGCACATATTGCCAATTTATTATGTTTTACAAAACTAGCTTTTAACGTTCAAAATGTATTTGTGCCAATATTTACAGGTTATGTGTCTTAGCTATAACAAATTAATTGTTTGCACAACACATTAAACTAACAGGTTTTGCACACTGTTATTTTTTTCTTTCTAACCAATTCACTATTCTTGTATTTGGCCTAAAATTAATTATATTCATAAGGAAGTTCTATTTAATACCCACTCTCTGAGGCATTTTCCGCATCATAGAAAAGTTATTGATATTTAGAACTCCAACTTTTGTGGAGTAAATCTCCCATCATGTTCAGACAGCCCCAGGGGATGCCAAATCTTAACCATCTCAACCTGATGTACAGGAGGTTGCAATAGACATTGTCACACTTATTAAGCTTTTTGACTCATACTCTTTTGAATCTTACTCTTAATGTTACTATTCATTAAATAGAATTGTTTGGAATTTAAAGTACATTTTGAATTTAAGGCCAAAACAGACAAACTGGAAAAATTATCCAAGTCAGATATGCTTCTAGATCACCTATTTTGGCATTAAATTTAAAATGTAATTTGAATCCCTGTCAATATTCACCTTTGTAAGTAACCATGTGTAAGTCCAATTTACAATTAAAGCAACAAACTATAAATTCTGCGATCATTTATATGCTCTTATCTAGCCATGTGTGTAAGCGTGTTCAGTGTCTATATTGTGTCAGTGTGACTGTGGGCTTGCATGAATAATCTGAGTAAAAGCATAAACTTGTTTGTGTATATATTATAAGTGCTGTTGTCCTCAGTGTTCTCTTACATGCAGTTTTTTTTGCTCTCCCTAAGTTTAAAGAAGTGGACCCCTTGCTCACGGTGCCTAAAGGGATTTTGGCAAAACCTCACTGACTATGCCCAACAAGGCTGAAACGATCGTCTGAGATTGCGGTATCTCTCATGCAGCGAGAGCCAGCCTGCATTTTGGATTTGGACCGTCCTTTTGGATGGGATCAGTCTGATATGCAAATGGATTGGTTTGTTTTGTAATGTCACAAGATGAGCTAAAACTAGCTGTATTAGTATGAGGTCTCAGGGTATATCATTAGTGTTAATGTATGTCGTTTTGCATAATATAATTGAGAAATCATATGTGTATTTGTGTATGCTGTCAATGTGTATTGGTCTGAGTGCATGAGTATATGCATGTGGAGTGTCAAGAACAAAAAAAATGCATTTGCTTTATATTATACTTTCTATAAATACCATTCAAACTTCCCTTATCACCTTTAATGCAGTCTCCTCCCCTCAAAATGTAATAACATTTAAACAATGTGTAGTATGACTGAGAAGAGGAAAATTACATTTGCTGTGGACATAACACGTCCATCTGGCACCATCAAAGCCATCTCTTCACTCCAGGACCAGCAAATGTGGAACACAAGGGGGCCTTTATGATACAGTGTATTTCTTGCTACCTTAGAACTCTCACTGATAGAAAACAATCTCAGACTTGCTGGAAAAGTCCTATAATCTCCCCAAATGACCTACATATAGATACTTGTAGCCTGGTCCTAGATCTATAACCAGCTGCCCAACCAGCCAATCTACTCCTTTCATAATGTTCATGCAGTATGCATGCACTATGGCAACTATTAGATTCCTACTATTGCTAAACATGTCTTAAGTCTCTCCAAATCTAAGTGTTGGGTCATAATACTTCTACATAGCTGATAAATTCCCCAGACATCCAGAAATGGATCAATGTCTTGACTTCCTCTCCCATCAAGTGTTCTACATTTAACATTTAAATCATGTCATATTTAGGAAAACTCTGTAGGCAATATTTCTTTCATAGTCTAACTCACAAAGAAGAACCCACTAAACTATTTCAACTGAAACGTTTTAAATTGTATTCATCAATAATCAGTATGCCCATGTGGACTATTTTTAATGGTTGGCATTTATCCATGGCATACATCCTGGTACATTTTTACTGTGTGTACATTGTTCTTGTTCTGAATTACATTTTAGCTGCATAAATTATTATTAAGTCACCTAATGGATGTTTGGACATTTTATTTAAATAAATAAATAAATAGTTTGTGCTTTTTCTGTTTCGGGCACAATATTCCTTTCTGCACTCTGTTACGGTGCATTTTAATTTTCTGTTTAATTTTAGTTCATTGTTTTTGGTCCACAAATTTGTAACTTTTAATGGATGAAAACGATGAGCAAAAGTGCACATTTGTCCAACAATTGCTTCCACCATTATCAGATAAACAGATTTTGTGTGACATATAAGTAACTTTCATGATCATCCTTTCTGTTTAATGAATAGATAATCCTTCAAATAGGGAATGTCTTCAGAAATATTAGTCCTTTGTCTTATTTTGTGACTGTAACCAATAGTAAAATCATCAGGGAAAACATTTGTTGGAAAAATCCAAGAGGATTGGAAAGTGACAAAAGACAAGTTATTTTGGTTCAATACAGAAATGATGGAAAAAATGTCAAAAAAGTTCAAAAGATAAGGAAATGGTGCACGTTTACGAAACTGACACAAATGTGAAAATGAATGCTTCAATTTTTATATAGAAGCCGTACAAAGTGGGGTTGCCAGACTCTCATGCATATCCTGTCCCTACAGATGTAGAATGAGATTTGATTCATGCATGTTGTTCGTATACTGCACTTTAACCACACCAACGCTTACCTTTGCATTTGGCTGCTGTTGTTTGGTGGCTGGAGTCTGATGGTCAGATGCCATTGTTAGGCTTTTGTGTTTTTCCTGGAAGATATATTATAGAGGGAGAAGTATGTTTTTGAGAAATAATTAAATACCAGGCTAATCCAATGAAATTAACATAATTCAATTAAATTTGAAACCATATGGCTTGTTCATATATATACACATGACATGATCAGAAGACAACAGTCAATAGGATAATTGTTTTATTTAAGTGTCATGCTATTAATGTTTAAATGTTTTCTTATACCCTCCCCTCCCCACATCATGGAGATGTAAATTGTGTCATTATGCTGCCAATTCAATTGCATTAAGTAACAGAATAAAATTATCCCCAATTGAGGCAATAAACACTTTACATGGTTATTCCTTGAGCACCATGGTGAACAGCAACTCTATATACGCTCCCCTTGTTCTAGAAGAGCTTAATTAAATAACAAGTACTTAAAGGGACATTATAGGCACCCAGACTACTTGATTGATGTGGTCTGGGTGCAATGCCCCTGTCCTCCTAAACCTGCAATGTTAATTATTGCAGTACCTGAGAAATTAATACTTGCATTACAATGTTAAGACTGCCCCTAGTAGCTGTCAATCACACAGCCTCTAGAGGCACTTCCTGCATGTTATCCCCAGAGGAAAGCATTGCAGCAATGTCATGTGACATCAGAGGAGGCAGAGTGTTGACACAGCACCAAGGGAGATCGACGCTGGAATTGTGTGAGTACAGAACAGGTTTTTTAACTGGGGGGCACCAGGTGCTATACAATACAACTTTGTATTCCTAGCACTATGATGAGCACTTAAACCTGATAACAACTTAAGCTCATTTAAAATGTTATGGTTGCAGGTGTGTCTGCTCACCATCTAACTTTCTGACTGGTTTCCTTCCTCTCTCTGGTGCAGTATGAGAAAGGTTTAGCTAGGGGGCAGGTGATAGGCTGAGGGTGTCTGCTGATACTTTGATATATCACTGGGTACCCATTGAGAGAAATCTTATGTGTTGTTCTTAAGGAGCACACAGGGATAGTCTATTTTGTTTTCCTTTATTGGTTTAAGCCATGCAGGATGGACACTGCTGCACCATAACTCAAACTTGAGTGACAGGTACACTTTGAAGGAACACTCTCACTCCATAACAACTTAGTACAGGTCCACTTTTATAGTAAATAAAATGCTTCTTCTACACTGCACTAGCCAAATTACTCACAAAATTACAGATACATTTTCTAGAAGATATATTTGTTTATTCATAAACTTTTTGTTAACAACTGATGTGCTTATGTAGATTCAGTGGCGGTTATGGTCCGAGTACTATTCTATACAAGCATTCCTGTACACATACATACAAAAATATCCAGTGTGTAATGGTATATAACTGTAATGTATCCCTTTTTAAACGTTCACAATATCATCTTTCCTTGATGCAAATCAAAGTGGGCATGTAAATAAAGCATAAACAAAATCAGGGGTTTAATGCAGTTTTTGTCAATACCTTTTAAAAAATACCTGAAAAGGGGACAGACCCTGACCTTTGAGCTGGTCGGAAGGGTGTAGCATGTGCTCCTGTCTATATCCCTAAAATCGGGGTGATACCACCGGCCTTCAAGCCAAGAACTTACCTGGGGGCAATACCCATGTCGGGGGTGCACTGACAATCCACTCGAGACTCCATCCGAGTCTGTCAATGCTGGGAGCCTGACGTGCTGCATCGCGGCCTACTTGAACTGGAGTTGGTAGGAGGCGGCCACTTCTCATACTCCGATACTCACCCTGTTGCACTCCCCTCCCCCCCCCGGACCGTCGGGGGTCATCCTAGTCCCTATTGGCAAGCTACCGATTTGCTCAGCTGCTTCTACTCACAGATATCAGACATTACCAGACAAAGATGCACAACCAATGATTGTGGACGCACTCACTCTGACCACTCCAGAGGGGTGCTTACCCCAATCGGCACATTACAACTCCACAGATCTTTGCCTTTAGCGGCTGGAGGAGATATTCTGGCGCTTCTGGGTGACATTACAGCAGCAAGGTGATCCCAGGCAGCCTTCTCCTCGGCTTCTTCCTCACCAATTTAAGAGAGGAAAGGGCTTGGTGTCGTGGAGGAGGAAGCTTAGCACCCCTTCACTCAGGCACTCACCTTTGCCGCAACTCGCACCGATCCCAGCCACATCACCACGCACAACACGGCTACAACCTGCAGGTCTCGGTGGCCTATCACTCATGTTACCAGCTGAGTGGGATTCTCGGCTGGTGGAAACGACGACTGGCTGAGAGCCGAGATGCAATCCTGTGGAAGAACTATCTATGTTCCCTGCATGCTTGGGCACAGATGATGGGCTCCATCGTGCTGTTGGAGGTTGGGACTCTCCCTCATTGGGAATCAGCTGCCTGCTGCTTGACTGCACCTATCATGACTGCACCTAGCAGATGTTACTTCATAATTTTATGTTATGTTCTGTTATTTTATCTGCTATTGTCTGTTAATGCATCATAATTCAATCTTATCCATAGTTTAATCTTAAGAGCCAGTGGTTCTCATAACCGGCATCTCTCCACAGTACTATGTCATAGCATATTTATTTCCCTCTCTGATTTTTCAACATAGCACTGTGTTCCTGATATTTTCTCCAATTTACTAGAAAAAGTGCAGTAAAATCGACACATTCTGAAATGTTGGTTCCCACTCATGTCATCTTAGTCTTTTGATCAGTGTCTTTGTATACTTGTTTGTTAAGCAATGCACTACAAAAATAAAGAATTAAAAAAAATAAGACCTGAAAAGCCAAACATCATATTTTTATGGCATATACCTATTTAATAATGCTACTCTATTAAGGAATTGTCTTGGTTCTGAATCATGAACCAACTATAAGACAAGTCAGAACCTTGTCAAAAGAAAATCAACCAAGCAACCCAACTAATCCAGAATTAGTTAAAAGCAAGATGGCAAGTGTAATGAGATGTGAAGAACAGATGAGAAATCTGAAAGTTCAAAATGACTAATCTTTTTAATGCTCTATTGATTCATATGCAGCCAAGTTTAAAAATGACCAGTTACAGATAAGCTTATCTGACTTTTAGCCAATGTCAAAAAGTCAGCCTGACAAATTTGTACGTCCACTGGGGATGGACATAACGAAGGAATCTGCCCCCAGTTGGACTTGCTTGGAAAGGGAAAGAGAGTATAGCTGTTTCCGGTTTCCGGTCACGTCAGAGTGACAAGTAGGTATAGAGCAGTGTTTCCCAACCCAGTCCTCAAGGCACACCTACCAGTCCAGGATTTAGGGATTACCCAGTTGTGTCTAAGGTGTTTTTTTTCTTCTTTGTAAAAACACCTTAGACACAACTGGGTAATCCCTAAATCCTGGACTGGTAGGTGTGCCTTGAGGACTGGGTTGGGAAACACTGGTATAGAGAACAAAAACAGCAGAGGCACACACAGGGTGGGCAACAAGCAATGCATCCAATAAAGTAATCTTCAGAATTTATTCAAATAACAGAAGTTCAGAACAGCAGAAACTCTATGCGTTTTATGGAGAAGTGCATTTGATTGTAAGTCTTATGCTCACAGGAACACTCCAAACACCATAGCAACTATAGCATGCTTTAGTATTTATGGCACCAGGAGTGCCATGGCGCAACCCGTTTGTAAACAGTTAAACCATTTGAGAATGGTTGGACTTCTTACCTGGGGTTTGCCGGATGCTGCTCCTTGCCTCTCTGCTGCCTTTTGAAGCTTCCATTAGCTCTCCTGAAGGAGACTGAAAGAATTAGCTGAGAGCTTGCGCTGCAGTGTAGGCAGGGACCAGCGCTGGTAGATCCCAGGTAAGATGTCAAACTGTTCTAACAGGGCAGTCCTGGCATCATAACTGGTCATGGCACTTTGAGAGTTCCTTTTTATCAAACTTCTGCACAAAATTACTGCCCCTCTGTGATTTGGTCCACTCTGCGGTGTTGTGAATAAATTGCTTTATTGGATGCATTTTTAGCTGCTCACCCTGTTTGTGCCTCTGACAATTTTTTCTTTCTACCTGCTTAGGTAGATGAGGGGTTTTCTCAGACTAGAGTGCACCAGGGTGAAGACAAGACTTCATAAGGTGTCCCTAACTGAGCAGTTGAATGGAAAACCTGGTGCTTGTCATTTATTTTATTCACATGATTGCTGTAAGCTAAGCAAACTGCATTAGTCCACATAATTAGCTCTCAATTGCGCCAAGGAAAAGACCTCCTGTGTAAGCTGCAAATGTAGTTGTTGGCATTCTAGGAGAAAGAGGCAGTTGGCACTGTCGAGTAGTGTGTAATTTGGGGGCAGAGCAGAAGGTAGCAGTTGGCAGAAGTGCAGCGTGTGAGCAGATGACAAGGCATTAAGCATAAGAGCAGTATAACAAAGAAAATTATATATATTTTTTTAAGTTTCCATTACTTTTTGCCTGACCCCAGAGCTCCCTGCTCTTAATAACCATCTATCTCTCTCAAGGAAATACAATTTAACTGTGGGTTCCCAAACCAGTCCCAATGACCCACCAGCAGTCCAGGATTTATGTATTTCCTTGCTTTATTCCAATGGAGATACTGACAAATCATGGACTTTTGGTTGGCCTTGAGGACTTTTATGGGAAACACTGCAATAGACCATAAACATAAAAAAAAAACATTATAGTTGCATGTGTGGGTCCCTGGAATAGTTGGAGGGTATCTTGTAATGACGGGTTTAGGAGGGCAACTTGTTATGGAGAGAAGAGGGGCCAATTGGGGAGAGGTGTGTTATAGTAAAAGAGTAGGACAGTATCGAGAAAAATATAGACGCTTTTTCATGACCAAAAATAAAAATTCAGAGGCACAAAATATATACAGGCCTATTGTAAAATGAAAAAATATCACAAACACAATGTTGCTGTATGCTGTGAGCGGTATGTGAAGGCTGTGTGCATGTTGGGTGAAGCTGTGTTAATGTTGTCTGAAATTTGTTAAGCTGTGTGAATGTAATCTTAAAGGACTTCTCCAAGCACCATCACCACTACAGCACACAGTGCTGTGGTGCACCCCATCCTCCTTATTGTAAGAAGACAAACCATTTTAGAAAAGTTTGACTTCTTACCTGGGGCTCTACAGGCTCTGCTCTCCACCTCCACTGCAACTTAGCGAGAGCCAGGAGAGCTCTCCATTGACCTAAGCTTGATGGGTGAGAGCAATGATATAGACCTGTACCAAGGAACTTATCTCAGGATAACTAAAGGAAATTCCTGCTTAGGAGTTTCCATCTCTCCAGCATTAGTAGTTGGGGTGGTGCCGAGCATTGGCGTACATACCGGGGTCGCAACCGGGCCCCGCCCACCAGGGGGACTGGCCACCCTGCGTCCCGGTATGTATGCCACTGTGGCCAGCCTCTTCTCCTGGGGGGCCCAGGAGCCGGCCAACTCAGGGCCCCCCGAGGCTGGCCCTGGTATCACCCGGCGAGCAGGCTGGCAGGCGCGCGAGGGAGCACTCACCCCTGATGTCATCTTCCGGCTCCAGTATCAGTACGCGGCACGCAAGGGAGCTGAAGAGGGAGCACTCAGGGGAGAGTGCTGCCTCGTCGCCAGCCTGCCCGCCGGGTGACACCACTGGACCCCAGGGAATCCCCTTAGCGCTCCCTAGGGTAAGGAGGCTGGGGGGGATTTTTTTTTTAAACGTGCGTATGTGTGTTAGAGTGTGTGTGTGTTAGTGTGTGTGTGTTAGTGTTAGAGGTGTGTGTGTTAGTGTTAGAGTGTGTCAGTGAGTGTGTTACTGTGTGTGTCTGTCACTGAGTGTGTTACTTTGTGTGTGTGTGTCTGTTAGTGAGTGTGTGTTTTGTAAGTGAGTGAGTGTGTGTCTGTCTCAGTGAGTGTGTATATATGTCTGTCATTGAGTGTGTGTCTGTCAGTAAATGTGTGTGTATGCGTCTGTTCGTGAGAGAGTGTGTGTGTGTCTTAAGCACTTACCTTTCTCCAGCGCCGGACTCCCTTGGCGCTGGGGATCTCCCCGATCCGCCTCTCAGCTCAGAATGCGCATGTGTGGCAAAAGCCGCGCGCGCATTCAAACCGCCCATAGGAAAGCATTACTCAATGCTTTTCTATGGACGTTCAGCGTCTTCTCACTGTGATTTTCACAGTGAGAATCGCGGAAGCTCCTCTAGCGGCTGTCAGTGAGACAGCCACTAGAGGCTGGATTAACCCTCAGTGAAACATAGCAGTTTCTCTGAAACTGCTATATTTTCAGCTGCAGGGTTAAAACTAGAGGGACCTGGCACCCAGACCACTTCATTGAGCTGATGTGATCTGGGTGTCTGTAGTGGTCATTTAAGTGTATGTGTATCTGCATGCACTGGCGTATATACTGCAGTCGCAGCCCTGCGACCAGGTGCCTGTTGTCATGTGTTGCGGCCCCAGCCAGCGCAGAGTAAGCGCGCGGGGGGGGGGCACAGATCAGTTTTCGCACCGGGGCCCCATGGGTTGTGTGTACGCCACTGGTGCCGAGCGCACAAAGTGGTGGTTTAGTGGATGATGGGACATGATTTCTGTGCTGTCAGCACTCTTGGCATCCCACAGGCACAACTGCACCACCCAGAACCAGCCTCTACTCCTTCAAACCACCCAGTTGAGACTGATTCAGAATGCGTTGAGGACGCTGTGTCTGTTGATGTGGCAAGCCTCATATTTTATCCAAAATGTTATGAGGTAGGTTGTCTTTGATAAGGGGGCTTATTATGTCAGTGACAGCAGCCCTGGCTATATGTTGTGTTGGATTTTTTTTTTAGAAATTTTATTTTGTTTCACTTTTAAACTTGGTTACATTTTACTTTGTCCAGCACATGACCTTAAAAAATGCTAAGGAGACATAATTACTAGGAATTTCAGGTGATGGCCAACATTTGCCTAGGGCATTCCATGTGAAAGAAGGTTTACGGAACATCCTGCTGACGTGAGCTGTATTTTGGGATTTTTTTTTTTTAATTCAAATAATTATGATAGAAAATCACCACAGGGAAGAAATGGCCAAGCAAAGAGTTGTATCTTATGTTCTGTTCTCTGCATATTTGAAATTAAACAATCACATTACATGAAGCCAGTTTGTGAAAAGATGACCTAACATCTAACAAACTCAAGAAGTGTCTCCATGTACTATTCATATATCTTCTTACCTTTTTAATGACAATAATACACCTCAGAAGACTTGAATAGAGATAAGGGCCTGTGGCAGAGTTTTGGTGTAAAAGCAGTGTCAGGGAAATATAGTGCGAGTTAAAGAGAATGTTGGTGTTTAATTTCCAAAGCAAAACTTATATATATAAACGTAATATTTTGCTATTTATAGAGTTTGCAGAAAACTCTACAAGAGAATAAAAATTATACTACTGATTGCATCCATTGTAAAAGCTTACATTAGCAACAAACTGCTAGAGATGACACCAATATCCCTGCCATTTAAAGATCTTGAATTTCTGTTTGAGATAATGTGCACACTTCATAACAAAAGTTAAAGGTTACTTATAGAAGATTGTTTGATTATCCTAAACTACAACAGACAGTGAGGAGTCCTGCAGGTAATTAGAAAATAATAATGTTTTTGACTTAATGTGTAACACAATATGACAGCCTGAATTAATTACCATGACAAACTCACTATCTCGTTTACCTTCTAGTGTATTATGTCATGTCAACATTTTAACAGACAACTTAGTTATCTACTTCCAGTAAGACCCTTAATCCATTCTAAAACTCTACTATGAGTGATAAGATTTACTTCCTTTATAACATTGTTGTTAGGTCTGAGCACATAATCAGGAAATGCCTAATTTAATATCTACAAAATACGTCATACAAACATATTTCTAAAATTATACAGTGCCCTTCTCTACTGTGTTGAGCAGTCTGAAAGAACTAGTGTCCATTTACTCGTTGGTTGTAGTTTTTCTCCATTTTCTCAATACTGAGGAACCCATACTGCTTCTTTGCTGCAGACTACATCTGGCTTACCTTTTGGGCAAAAAAACAGTTGCATGTGTATATATATATGTGTGTGTGTATACTTGGGTCTAAGTTTCTAATAGAAGTTATTGGCAATTGATCACCTGTTAATGATTAGTTTATGTAGACTGGATGCTGTATGCCTGTCTTAAGTAGATGCCTACTGTTGGTATTGTTATTACTGTTCATTATCAACCTGGCAGTGACCAGAGCGAAGACACAGCATCTGCAAAATGTCATATTATGAGAGAGATTAAATAACGATTGTATAAACCACCCAAAGACTTTTCTTACCAGGGAAATTGGAACACTGACATATTTCCTCTTTAACTTTTGTTGGCCATGTAAACTTAACCCTGTATACATGTTACTGACGCCCACCAGCGCGGGCACGCGTTTATCATTAACTATTTTGTGTAGATTAATTGCGTTAGTAATGGGAAGGCTTCCTTAAGGCATGTAAGGATGGTATACATATGTCTGATGGTTTCCTTGCTATGACTGAGAATCAGCTTTATGTTTTTAAGAACCTCCACCTTCTGTAGCGCATTACCAGATACAAAAGTTATTTCAACGAGGAATAGAATTTTTTTAAATATATGATAAAACAGCTGGTAATCATAGCTTGATATTCCCACATTGCAAACAAAATCTATTTTGCTATACCCAAGGATTATAAGTAAAAATAAGGAAGTGGTTCTTACCCGTATGCCAGTACCCGCTTGTTCCAGTAAAAGGCAAACTGCACTTGGTTACATTTATAGTGGACACGGGCAGGAGAACAGTGCCAGGACTATTTACAAAATAGTTCCAGCGTGATTCAAAGCGATAATGCTGGATTACTGCTCAGTTGAAAACTCCAGGTCTGCTGATGCACAGCCTGCATTGTTTTATGAAGCAAAGAGTTGGAGAATTATTTCATTAGCTTTCACATTTAGCTGGGCCGGCATTGTTTGGTTTGTTGGTTCGGAGATTTGAACTTTGCATACATCAGCCCTCTGAATGCCAAGACCTGGAACATCTCATTTAACAATTATGCCAGCTATGCTTCAGGGCTTTTAGAGCCAATGATTTCTATCACTTGAAACAACCTGTACCAAGCACAGGAGACATAGCTACATTTTAAAGAAAAATCTTCTAATTTTTTAGGTTTTGCATGTGCTTGTGCTAAAGTTATGTTACCGTGCAATATAAAAACAGGCCTCAGTCTACTTGACCTTAATTAGGTTATAACTGGATGAATAGCCCATGCTATATTTTATACATGGATGGGTCTAGAGAAGAGCGTAGCATAAATATATTTATGTGTACTGATATAATTTATTTATAACACTGTCTTTACAGAGTGTGCAGACAAAGATTACAGTGAGAGTACCAGTATACATGGAGAATAGGGATATGGGAATGGTTGTCTGTGTGCAATATAATGTTTACTGTAATTATGGACGGAAGTGTAAAGAAGAAAAATATGTATAGTTAACAACATTTTCTGCTATCACATGTTTATATTGTGTTGGCGTGATTTATTCTCTTTTAGATGCATCAAGGGGCTTTGCAAACACCACCAGTGATGCCCCCTGTTACTTCATGCTCCATGATTTCCCCCAAAATGTAACACCTTAAATTAGCACTCCTTTAATCCCACATAATATAGTTATATAGCTAGTAAATCCATGGGCAGACACACATTCACATATATGCACAAAAACAGCCACTGCTATGTAAAGAAATACACTTAAATATAGGCAGAGACAAAATATAGATATACAGACATAGTAATGCAAGTCTCATGCACAGACATACTCATTCACCATAAGACATAGATGGATTTTTACTAAATTGAGAATTCAGGGTGAATTTAAAGTGAATTTCCAATTTAAGGCCAGAGTAGCTGAATTGAAACCTTGTTATGTAGAGAATATTTCTATTTGGCTATAGTGACCTTTAAACTGAAATTTACACTGAATTCACATTAAAATATCACCTTCGTGAATAACCCTGTCGCACACATTCATTCATGCAGACATACATAAACACACACATAATACACTCTACACAGAGACATTCATGCGGACACATATAAAGCCACACACATGCATATTCAAGGCACAGAGACAAGTACACATACAGATACACAAGTCAGAATGTTATGTATCTAAATTGACTAAACTTTGCATATATATATATATATATATATATATATATATATATATATATATATGTGTGTGTGTGTGTGTGTGTGTGTATATATATATATATATGCAAAGTTTAGTCAATTTAGATACATAACATTCTGTATATGTATATATATATATATATATATATATAAAGATAGAGAGATATACACTTTATTGTCCATATATTAATGGTATATTGTAGGCATGTAATAAGATCGCAACTACGTAAGGTGTGATTTTTCCTTGGTAATGTGTCAAACATTTTTCTGTCATCTGACTTGCCGTTTCCTTTTTTTGTCTAACTCTAATAGCATGTATTAAGGTATGTTTTGGGGGGTTGATTTGCTTGTTTGTTTTGTAATCTAAAATAACCTAGATTGCAAATGGCAGCCTATTACATTTCCATTGATATCCAGCCATTTTATGATCATTAAACGTTTATAACTTCTGGACCGTTTTGCACATTTTCAGTGCAATTATAATCCCCTACCAGCCAAGTGTCTTAATGTCTCTTCCATATTACTGGTGTGAATCAGTGTATACAAGAGCTCCACAGCAATAACACTCACAGCAACAGATAATAAATGTGTCTAGAAATCAGTCTCTTTGTTCTTGTTCTAAATTATTTTTGTTGCATACATTTTTAGTAAGCCTACTAAAGTATTTTAGGACAGCCACGCCCCTTGTCATACCCCCACTCACACCCTTAAAATTAAAGTATCCATTTTTGTCCATTTGAAATATTGGGAGGTATGTAATCCAAAAATATCACCTTTTTTGTCTGCCTGTAGCAACAGTAAAGTTAGAAATTGTTATTGGTTTAAGATTAAGTTCAGTCATCTAATTAATCAAAATCTGAAGCTCTATACTCCAAGATTGGAAAATTACACAAACAAAATGGATCCACTTTGGAATAATCTGACATCTCAGTTTCACTGTACTATTTTGTTGTTATGGAGCATATTTGCGCTTTAACTTTTAATGAGATACCATTAATATACATTTGGAGATATTGCTTCCACATGTTATAAACTCAGGGGAGGTAGTTTCTGTGTTGGTCCTGCTCATATGTAAGCACAATGATTAGCAATTATCAGTCTTTTAGTTAATTATTAGAAAACAGTTTTTTTGTTGTTTATCAAGTCCTTTTTAGTAATACATTTGCTAAACTTTCATTGGTTTGATTAATGTTTTGATAACACTTGAATTATTTAAACTAGACTTTAAAGTAAGGCATTTTTCACCAGACTGATAAAAGCCAAAGTTTTGTAGAAAAGTATGCTAATGGTATTGTAATTGCATTATTTATAACTAATCTGCAATCTTTTTCATGTAAATAATTATCAAATGATAATAATGGCAACATTATTACAGATTTCATTTTTTTTTACTTTTTTTTTTAACCCTTTAAGGACACATGACATGTGTGACATGTTAGGATTCCCTTTTATTCCAGATGTTTGGTCCTTAAGGGGTTAACAACACCACCATGAAATTTAAACTTAGCACTTTATGTTGCTTGGCAAACAGCAGTGTGTGATATTAACAAAAATTGCTGTCTTGCTGCTAACTCACGGAACAAGTGCTTAGAACCTGGTATGGGAATGCAAAGACAGGCTTGTTGAAAATAAATAGGAAGCAAAGTAGAAATATATTTCAATACATTGTACCAGGGCGCCTTAAACCTGGGGCATACTGGGGGCTGCTACCCCAGGCCTAGTTACTCTTGGGGGGCCCAAAACAGCTGCTCCATGTGCCCCATTGCCCTCACCTGGTGGCCCATGCACTTAGATCTACCCTGTGGGCTTGTATCAGCAGGGGGCCAATCGGGTACTAGGGTCCTTTAACAGCGCCACCGTGCCCCTTGCTTTTTGGTAATATGGGAGGAAGAGACAGCCGTGAGATACTTCCTCCCATAAAGAGACGAGCTGCACGGGAGGGAGAAGGAAGAGGGCTCCTCACTCCCATCACCCTCAGGCACCACACTGGGCCACAGGGAAGCCACCCTCCAGCAAAAGGTAGCAATCGGGGGGTTAAAAAATGTACATTTTACATGTGTTTCAGTATGTCTGTGTGTGTGTCAGTATGTCTGTGTATGTGTGTCAATGTATGTATCTCTGTGTGTCAGTATGTCTGGCAGTGTATGTATTTGTGTGTGTCAGTATGTCTGTCCGTGTATGTGCCTTTGTGTGTCTGTGTATCTGTATGTGGGTGAGTATCTGTATGTAGTCAGTGTGTGTATCTGCATGTGTCAGGTTGTGTATCTGTATCTGCATGTGTGTCAGTGTGTGTATATATATCAGTATATCTGCATGAGTGTCAGTGTGTGTATGTTTATCTGCATTTGTGTTACTGTGTGTATGTGTGTATGTGTGGCAGTGTATCTATATATGTACATACATCTCAGCATTCAAACACCTTCACTACATACAAATACACTCCTGCATTCAAACTTCAACACTTCATACAAACACACTCCTACATTGAAATGTCAACACTCCATACAAACATACCTCTGTGTTAAACACAAAAATTATATATAAACGCACACAGGGCCAGCCTTAGGGGTGAGCGAGCTGTGCGTCCGCACAGGGCGCCATGGACCAGGGGACGCTATGTGGCCGACACAGCTCACACATGGCTAGGTGACAGGAGTGCAGGGGAGCTAAAACAGGTACCCGGGTGGAGGATTTCATTATTCTCCACCCAGTCTATAAAAAAAAAGTGTGTGACTGCCTGCCTGTTTGTGTGATTTTCTGCCTGTTTGTGTGACTGTCTGCCTGTGTGTGATTGTAACTGTGTGTGACTCCAATTGTGTGTGTCACTGTAGCTGTGCCGTTGTGTGTGCCTGTATGTGTGCCTATCTGCCTTTAATTGAGTGTGTGTGTTCCTATCAGCATGTGTGAGTGTCTGCATGCCTGTAACCGAGTGTGTATGACTGTCTGTTTGTAATGAAGTATGTGTGACTCTTCTTGTGACTGTGTGTGTGACTGTCTGCCTGTAACTGTGTGTGTGTGTGTTTGTGTGTGTGACTTTATGCCTGTAACTGAGCGTGTCTGACTGTCTGCTTGTAACTGTTTGTGTGACTGCCTGTGTGTGACAATATACAAGCAACTTGGTGGGGCAGGGCACCGTGAAGACTTTTCGCACAGGGCACCTAATGCCGGCCCTGAACGCACATCTACATTCAAAAACCAACACTACATATAAATACACGCCTGCTTTCAAACTCCAACACCACATACAAACATACTCCATACAAAAACATGCTTACATTCAAACACGGCTTAGTGCTAAATAGAACCCCAGTTGTCATAGCATTGTTGGAGTTGCATAACAGATAGGGATCTTCCTTTTGGCTAACCTTGTGATTGGGGGGCCCTCTTGCGTTCCTCCTGCGTTTGGGTGGATGGTGTGAATGCATGCCAGGAAGGGGGGTGGGGAGGGGAGCAGGGACCAAGCAAATGCTTGACTAGGCCCCAGGGTTCAATCAATATTAAAGGCAGCCCAGCATTGTACCTTAGATAAAATGATTCATGTGAACTTGTATAATTTGCCTTTCCTTCTAAGCTTAGAAACAGGGGCGGGCTGGGCCGGGGGGCAGGGAGGCAATTGCCCCCCAGGCCGTCCTAAATTCTGTCAGGACCGGCCGCTGCAGGGCCGGCCCTTTAAATGCTGCAGCCGCCTGAGCGCTCTGTTAAG